AGAAGAGATAACTCTGAGTTTCACCCTGCACTCACGACGGCAACAAAATCAGCTTGTATATATCCTACAAGTAGAATGTAAGCATTCAATCAGAGCTACTTCACTTGACTGTATAGTCTACTCGAGATTCGATAGAGAGAAATAATGATGTAACATTTCGATGATCGTAGATATCCAGATAAAAAGAAATTCCCAGTATCGAAATTGTAGATACAAATATAAACCATATATATATATATATATATATAAAGACACACACACACACACACATACATGTATATATATATATATATATATATATAGGAATATAATATATTGGAGACTTTACAGATATTCAAAGGATGGAATACTTAAATACAAAAGCTTTATACGTACTGTCGCACACTTTATGTGCATATCATCAGAAATGATCTGTGAAAGTTACTAAAGTATTGTGAAATGAATGTATATATTCTTAATAAAGCAATACATGTATCTATATAATATATATATATATATATATATATATATATATATATATATTTTGACTTTTTGAAAACAAGAACATCATCCGTCCATATCTCTCTCAACAATTCTTCTTTCTTCCTCTTCTTCCTTTTTATCTTTTATCTTTTATCTTTTATATCTTTCCTTCTTTTTCTTCTTTCTTTTTTTTTTTCTTTTATTTCTTCTTTTACTTTGACTGCACAACGTGCACGAATCAAAACACGAATCCGCTTCTTTCTCTTTAGTAGTTTCGAAAACCCTTCGTTTTATTCTACTTGATGAATAAAAATCAGGAAATGAGAGTCTACGCGAGCTAACCGAGAACCTTGGAACGGAAAAGGTCGAATGTATAAATCAACCCTGTTGGTGTATGTACGTACGTACGTACGTTTTTTCAGAATCGAATGTATACATGCATGTAAGTTAAAGTGAGTTAGTAGTTAAATCATTCTATTAGAAATGTAAGTTTATGCGTCCATAGAGATTACATGGATAGGGAGAGACGTGCCAAATGTTTCTCTGAATGAATCGAAAAACATTTTGAAATTTGTAATTTTGCGATCTGACAAAGAAAAAAGAAAAAGAAGAAGAAGAAGAAGAAGAAGCAAAAAATATTAATCCAAAAAGTCACCAAATGGATCAAATGATTTTTTTTTTATTTTTCTTTCAAATGTCATTTAAAACATTTTGAAAACCGTCCTCGGTTCATATATACACATATTAATTTTTTTTCTTCTTTTTCTCGTGCGAAATAAATTATTCAAAGCTATGAGAGGAATAAAATATCTAGTAACGAACGTACTTTTGGGTGAAATGAAAAAGAAAACAAAAAAAAAGAAAGAAAAAAAGAAAAAAGAAAGGAAAGAGAAAATTTTGAAATTTGTAATTTTACGATCAGACGGGAGAAGGGAACCGATAAAAAAATTTGCCCTGAAAGGTTCTTTTTTCCCTTTTTTTTTTTTTTTTTTTTTTTCTTTTTTTTTCTTAAGGAAAATCGTTCCTTCGACTTTTTCTTTCTTTTCATTCATTCATTCATTCTTTCCAAACGAGAATATGATCCTTCATATAAATATCATCGAATAAATATCTTTTTTATTTACACTGCAGACGTATCGTGTACACGTTTAAATTCGCACGGAATAAATTCAGTTGATTTTGAATAAGCCACGATTAAAATTGAAGAAATGTCCACGCGTTAGTTAAACAGGATTATCATCATACGAAACGTTTACTTTAACATACTTTCTGTTTGAACATAGGTACGCAAGAAAGACGCGATATGCATATACATATATAACATATCTACATAGATACATACACATATATATATATATATATATATATATATATATATGCGGATTAAATGAAGATACAATTGTAAAGGATAAAAAAGAAAGAAAGGAAAGAAAAAAACAAAAAAAGAAAAAAAAAGGAAAGAAAACTCTAATTATACCTTTGCGCGAGATATTTTTTATTTCTTTTCTTTTTTTTTTTTTTTCTTTTTCCTTGTCCTTTTCTTTATTTTATTTATTTTTTTTTCTTTTTTGTACCTTTAAATTCTTATTCACGTAAAGCGAGAATACGCAAAGGTTGTGCGAGAGGTTGTGGATGTGGGGAGAGAGAAAGGGGGTTGGAGGAGTTACATTGAAACGCGCGAAGAATTCTAAATTTTAACTCTCATCTCATCTACCCTTGAGAATAATCCCTATCTCGTTCGAGATAATTATAAACATATTAAGTTTTTCATATTGTTAAAAATATACAAAACGTTTAAAGATTCTAACTCGTACGTGTATGTATACGTAATGTTTTTGTGTTTTTTTTTTTTTTTTATCTATTTATACGTTTTATATATATATATATATGTATGTATGTATGTACATACGTATGCATGTATGCATTTACTATAAAGGATATATATACTTATACTATTGCAGGACCATATTCCTAGAGACACAAACCGTATACACGATACTTTTCACGACGTACCACGGGAAAAGAGTTTCCAGAAAAATTTGCATTTTAAGGAACGCAGGATACTACCTTGCAGTTGGATGTTCGTGCAAACGCATGTAACGTAACGAGCTGGCAAAAAGATCGTAAATCTAAATGAAATACCGATCGATCGAAATAGACGAGAATAGAATTTTGTACGTTCGATATAATTCATTTTTCAACGGGATATAATATATAATAATAATATTCTTTCCTTATACGAAGAAATAAAGAAGAATTTTTTGAGAGAAGAAAGGAATAGAATAAAGGGAAGAGAACTAAAAAAAAAAAAAAAAAGGAAGGAGGAAGAAAAAAATATCCTTATGAAAAATTAATTTCGTATCCACACATTTTCTTTTTCTTCCTTTTGCTTTGTTCTTTTTCTTTTCTTTTCTTTTCTTTTCTTTTGTTTTTTTTTCTGTTAACTCACTCAGGCAGGAAGTTTGTTGAATTTAGTTAACTTTATTGTTGTTATTATTATTATTATTATTATTATTATTATTATTATTATTATTATTATTATTATTGTACTTTTTTCGCACTTTTCTTTCTTTTTATTTTTTTCTCTTTTTGTATTTTTTTTCCTGCTTCCTCCCACGTATTAATCGTTTTAATCGTCGAGCACGATACACGCTTCGCATATTTCCTTTCAATTTCGTTTAGACCACAAACGCACACGCATGCACATTTATGCGAACAAAAGCACGCTTTTGTAGATACACCTAGCGGACAAGCGCTATTGAATACGTTCCAATGAAATACGGATTAGCCGCTCGCATTAGCGTGTAATAATAAGCCGAATAACATTTTGATTAAATGATAATTACCAGAGGGATATATCAGGAATTTCTTTAAAAATCCTTGAATTTACGTGTTAATGGTGTTAATGGTAATACATCATCAATCTCTCCTTCCCCCCCCCCACCCTCATACACCCTTCCCATTCACCATCCAATCCAAAATACATTTATACAATGATTGTCACGCGTTATTTTATTTTTTATTATGTAATATATATATATATATATATATATATATATATATATATATATATATATGTATGTATGTCAAAACATGATAGATTTATTATAGAAATTTTGCGTATATGTGCGTAGAATAATCAACACTCGACTAAGGAAACAAAAATTTCGAAAATTCGAATTTATCGTTGATACAGATCAATGAACAATATACACACACACACACACATCTTGTTTCATTAATGTTCTTTTGTCAAAAAAAAAAAAAAAAAAAAAAAAAAAAAGAAAAAAAGAAAAGTAAATAAAAAGTAAAAAATTTTTTCATTCGTTGCATGAAACAAAATCGAAGGAAAAAAAATTTACATCGAAAAAAAGAATTGCGTTCCTTTGAATTATTTTTATAAATTTTTCAATACTCTGCGCAATCCCAATCGAATAATTTTAACACGATATTCTCATCTAAAGCTTTCGTGTTTTATTAGATCGAGAGACAAAGGATAGAATTATGGATTACACGAAATATAATAAAAGCGACAGTTACAACGTAGCGAAAGTTACTTTGTTACTCGGTTGTAAGAGGAGTGGTGGGAAGGGGGCCGAACTTGCAATGAGGAATTTTAAAATATTAAAAGTATTCAAAATTTGTAAAAGAATTTCTTTCTTTTTCTTTTCTTTTTTCTTTGTCTTGTTTTTTCCTTTTTTTTCTTTTTTTTTTCTTTTTCTACTTTTTACTTTTTTTTTACAAACCCGATTAAAGTTTTCGTTATCTTTTTTATTCTTCGCATGGATATATAAATTGTAAAAAATCATGTAAAAAAAACAGGTGTTTTTATAAAATTTTATGCACGAGTTTTCTCTCTTTCTCTCTCTCTAGGACATATATATATATAAATATATATATATATACACACACACATACACGTATGTGTTGTATGTATATTTAAGCGAATCTACACTTTTTTAATAAATTTTAGAGCGTGCGTTTGACGTAGACCTGACTCGTCGAGGGCGAGTGAATCGAAACACTTGTAAACAAATTTACATGCGAGATATTGCATAAAAATTCGTGATGGTGGGGAAAAAAAAAAAAAAAAGGAGGAAAAGAAAAAAAGAAAAAAAGAATTCGTAGAAACTTTCTCTTTTTGTCTCTCTCCTTCTTTTCCTATTTTTTTTTTCTTTTCCTTTTTTTTTTTTTTTTTTATAATTCTCTTTTTCCTTTTCCTTTTTTTTCGACGACGTAACTGAAAGCTTTGAAGTATAAAAAAAAAAGATAAAAAAAAAGAAGAAAAAAAAAAAAAAAGAGAGAAGAGGAGGAAAGATCGAAGCAGAAAATGTGTATGTCAACGTTAACGTCCATACGCATAGGGTTTATACATATTTTGTATTCAACAAGGTTGTACCTATTAGGATGAAAGGAGATAGAAAAGGAAAAGTGATTAACTGTTAACTGAACGGATGCGAGCGAAACGAAACGGAACGAAACGAAACGAAACGAAACGAAATGAAATGAAAGATTAACAACCAGTGAATGATACTCACCGGTAGGTACCAGCACGTTAAGTAAGATAGACAGGATGAGACTGGTGACCCGATAGCCGTGTATTATAACCATCAGCCACCTCGACACATTGAATCCAGCAGCATGCCATAAACCTGTGCCTTCGTGTACCATGTTTTTCCAAAGGCTGGTCCGTTTCTCCCGTCCGCACGTATCACCGACTCACCCGCGCACATTCACAAACGTATTACATTAATATACCAAATCCTCGTTTCCAAACCGAGAAATATAATAAACCGAATAATAATATACTCGGTAATATTATACTTTATTCGTATTATTTCAAAAATACGAAAACATTTATGATACACGCCAGAAGAGATGTCACCTTCCTTTCTTTCTATTTATCTCTATTTCTAATCCTCTCTCTCTCTCTCTCTCTCTCTCTCTCTCTCTCTCTTTCTCTCTCTCACTCCTTGTTTCTATTTTATTTTTTTCTTTTCTTCTTTTCTTCTTTCTTTTTCCTTCCCTCTTTCACCCGTTCGTATTCCCTTCTTCTCTTTTCAATCTAACATTCATTCGCACACTACTAAACGTTTAATATCATTATACCTACCACCCACCAACGAATTAACCAACGTTCTCGTTGCTTTCAATTCGTCCGTATATCGTATATCCTCATAAAAGGAAAAAAATAGGGACGAATCTTTTCGTTCTCGTCCTTATCGTCGTCGTTATCCTCGTATCGTTTACACACTTTTAAATGCCGCGCACATACGCACGCACTCACGCACTCACACACACACACATATACACATATACACAAACGCAGAAGAAACCGTGTCTTTTTTCTATTTACGATACTTTTTCGATTCTTCGATCGAAAAGGTCAAATCTTTCTTCATTGTTTTCTTATATTTTCCTATTCGTACGTATTCGTACGTACTTACGTACGTATGACGTATTTATTCTATATTCCGTAATAATGCATGTTACAAAGAATATAAGATAATATATTACGACGACGACGATAAAAATTTTGCGAGGCGACTTACAGAACAGGTTAGAACGTAATACTCGTTATGTCGCTCACCTATCCTTTAGATTTCCTTAAGTCTTGTGAAAGAAGACCTCCAGGTATAGGGAATTTGTCAATAACGATTCACGTCGCTTATTATCGTTCGATTTTGAAACATGTCGAAGAGAGACGTGTAATAGTAATATTTTTTGTCGTCTTCGTCGTCGTCGTCGTCGTCTTCGTAATAGTAGTAGTAGTAGTAATAATAATAATAATAATAATAATAATAATAATAATAATAATAAAAGGAAGACGCACGGTTTCGTATATTTCGTGTCGATTCTTTGACGATCGAATTAACAAACGAGAGACATATAGAGTACATACTCCGTCTTCCATAAAAGTTTAAAATCCGACATGCGATCAAGAAAGCCGATGAGATACGATCGTGACGGTAACTTGTTATATACTAAGGTTTCTCTGATCTTCTTGAACGTTTCTATGTTTATTGTTTATGTTTTACGCGGCAACAGCGAGAGCGAACGTACGAACGAATGAACGATAACGAGAGAGAGAGAGAGAGAGAGAGAGAGAGAGAGAGAGAGAGAGAGAGAGAGAGAGAGAGAGAGAGAGAGAGAGAGAGAGGGAGGGAGAGGGAGATAGAGAGAGGGGGAAGGAGAAGGAATAAGGAAAAGGGAGAGAAAGTGGGAGTACTAAGAGGAGAGGAATGAAAACGTTTCTGTGAATTCTCTCTTGTCAACATACGTATGTCTATCTCTCTCTCTCTTTGCGTGTGTGTGTATATATATATATATATATATATGTATATCTTACTCTCTTTATTCCCTCTCTCCTTCCTTTCTCCGCTTCTGTCTTCCTTCAAACGAAATTGATATTACGGCTCAGACGAAATTCGTCCCGCTTGAAGGCTATTCCGTATCAACTTGGGAAAGTAATTCTCACGGTGCACAAAAGGCAAATCTATGTAGTATGTCGAAGGGAAATATTCCAGAACAAGAACGGTGTAACCCCTGTTAGAGAGATCGGTGCGTTCGCGAAAACGTTGTAACATTTTAGTTAGCGATACAATGCGTTTCCTACGTACGCCCTACGTCCTTGTGCGTCGTTGTTGTTGCCGTTACTTCCTCCGGATAGTTTCACGTATCGAAACACGTCCAATTTATCTCTCTCTCTCTCTTTCTCTCTCTCTCTCTCTCTCTCTCTCTCTTTATCTATCTCTATCTTTCTATTTCACTCACTATTTCGCTTTCTCTCTATCCCCTTTTGCAGAGAGGTATTTTGCAACGAGAATCGACGAAGGAAATTCGAAAGTTATAAAATATCTTTGATAGAGAGAGAGAGAGAGAGAGAGAGAAAGGAGAGAGAGAAAGAAGTTTCTTCGTACGATATTATTCGAGTTAAGGAAATATTGTGGAATGTGTAAAGTGAATGAATGAGATTATGATAGATAGAGACAAGAATAGAGAGATTCAGATTGAGAGAGTGAGAGTGAAAAAATGAAT